TTGATGCAATTTTTTGAACGCTTTTTTTGATAGTAATTTACTAGTAAAGACATCTCAATTTTGTCGATCAATTTTATCTAATAGTAGTATCATTATTACTGCACCCTTACATAATTTTGACTAATTAGTATTTGATCCCAAAAAATACTTTAAAGTGTATAAATAAGTTACCCGGGCAATTGATTTACATCAGACAATCAGACCTATAAACGCAGTTGTTGGCGAAAACCTAAAAAGGAATTAATCAAGTGTTGCTATAATTTCCTTTTAGGGAGCATAATACGTGATATTATGTCAATCAAATAAGTTTTCCCACAGTACTCGCGCCATAAACCCTAACTTGGTAACTCATTGAAATTTTTACTTATCTTCATCCTTGCGTTTACCAGATTTACTTGCTGGAATCGGGAGACTAGTGCTTGGCAAAAACTTGATTTTCAAGTTTTGAATCTATCGATTTACAGTATTGTGCCTCAATTACTAATCTGACTTTAAACTTCAAAACTTGAAAATCAAGTTTGTTTGATATTGTCGTGCACTACAAAAGACCCATATGATTGTTAACTCACTAGCGCATCACTGCTTAGCTGTCTTTTCGATCTGTTGACCTATTGCAACTCGAAAAAAACCAATAAACATGTGTTAATTGGTTTTTTTTTTATTATAAAAAAACCAATACATACAGAGGAGCCTTTATTATATATACTTGTATGTCATTTATTAATTCCTTTGAATCAATTTATTCTTGTACTTAAAAAAAAAAAAAAGCTTATAAGAAGTATACCGCCTTAATGTGAGAGTCGATATTTTAATAAAACTTCAGTTCAAAAGTTATATAATCTAATCAAATTATAAGGACAGTAATTCTGAACATTTCATTATCAATGAATTAGAATTTTCTCAATTAACTGAGATACTATTCGATCAGTGCAATTAATTGATATGCTTCTTCTAAAAAATTCATAATAAATAAATAAGTATTCCTGAACCAGGTTTTTTCGCCTCATATTGTCTCCCTCTAATAAAATTAATTGAAATAAACATTATAACAATTTTGCAAAACATTCATTATATAAAATGTGGATTTTAATTCAGCTAGTTAAGATACGCTATATGTATATATAAAGGTCCAGGTTATTATTTTTTTTTTTGACCGGAATGATTAAACATGATCTATTTTTTTTAGTCAATCAGATCATTTTTTTACCATAAAAGAGGCGCTTGAGAACAAGGACAATAATAAACAAAAATGTTTTGCTTGTATAGTAACCTCCTTTTGGTTAAAGTAATATATATCAGTGTTGTCACTAGAAGTTAAATCAATAGTACCATTGGAACTTTAAGTTCCAGTGACACTATTGATTTACTTCCAGTGGCCTTCCATGACAACACTGATATATATAATACCACAATAATGAATAAAAGTATACGGCACAAATAAATGTGTAAAAATCATAATATAAACCAAAACAATTTCTCATAAGCATTAATGTAAGACTTCTATATAACTACACTATAATTGATATGTAAATATTAGCACAATACAACATAGCACTCATTTCTAACCCTTTTAAAATTTCAAACGCCCTTTTCCACAATCAAAATTTATATATTATTTTAATCTTATGCCAATGAACATTATCGATATTATTAATCAAAAGGAGTTATCTGCATGATCTGAAGCATGCGCCATAAACCTAAGACCAATACTACAATTAATATTTTTTAAAACTTTCAGTAACACTTTAATTTTCGGTAACACTTTTGACTTTCAATAACGCTTTCGACCTTCGAACATTTCAATAAATCGAAATTCTATTCGAAAATATTTTCTGTTAGCGTTTTTCAAAATGGCTAAATCATTTGCACTTTGAAATGAATTTATCGAGTAATTTAAAAGCCGATTAAGCCATTTGAAGTTAGAAGGCAATATTAATTTTATTATACCAGCTAACAATCTATAGTACGTATTATTAATTTGTGAAAGAAAAATGGTCACTTGGCCTCTAAAAGTCATTTGAAACCTTTTTTCGGTAAATACCGAAAGTACGTACTCATTTTAAAGCCAACTTTAAATAGGCATTCAATGGTTCATTGTTTATTGTACTGTACGATGCATACCAAATTTGATTTTTGTGTATTCAATATAAATTTTTAATATTGTTACCGTTAAAATACAAATAAAATTTGAAAATATGGATTAATAATTAAAACGGGTCACTTTCGATTTCAGGAATGTAATGCAACACAATTAGTTAGCACCGATAGCTGATTTAAAATTGAAGCTGGGCATAAATTATAATGATTTGCGAATATATGCAATTCTCACGCAATATTAATTTATGTCGATTTCTGAATTATACAGAACGATATAAAGCAGTTAAAAAAACTCCCCATAATTTATAAAATAGAAGGTTAGAGGGTAATGACACGCTCCAACAATTATACAATAATCTCATGAAAAAGATCAGAATTTTAAAAATTCGAAAATTTAGATATAATATTTTAGCGTGGGTACATCCAAAAGTGTAGCCTGAATATTTTTAATATAATATGATTCTTTTTTTATCAAAAAAAGTTTTTACCTTATTTTAATACTTAACTACTCTTTAATTACTGAATTTAAATTATTTTTGATTTATATTTTCTGCGGCTATTGTATAATACTTAATAAGTATCACCCCTTCTACCCCAATTTTTGAATCTCAGATTAGCGGAATTTATAATAAGATCTTTGGCCAAATTACTTCCGCTAATCTGAGATTCAAAAAATTGGGGTAGAGGGGTGCTTAATTTCGGAACTATATGGTATTAATTTATTGAGCACTAAACCAAAGTTTCCAACAAAAAATTTTCAATTAAATACATTACCAATCTGTTTGCGTTATACAGTGTTTATTTTAAAATACATAGTTAATTCAAATTATAAATATAAAAGATTGGTTGAAGTACATAGTTTAATAGTCATTTCACACTACAGTACAGTCAAACCTCTCTATAATCACACACTTGAGATACAAAACAATGTGATTGTAAAGAAGTGTGACAATTATAGAGGTTGTCGCGTCTGAAGATGGAAATAGCTGAAGCTGGAAATTAGGAACCTTGACTTAAAATATAAACCCTGCCAAAATCCACTTATACTCTTTTATTATTAAAACTACCCCTAAAAAAAAAACCTCCTAACAAAAGGCCCAAAAATTTTTAGTTTCAAGCATTTCCAGCTTCAGCCGTGACAATAATAATAGATTGTTTAAAAAAAAAAAAAAGAAAAAAGAGCTTATAAAGAAAATTTGCTTCTATAGAGGTTACTATAGTGAGGTTTGACTGTATATTAAATGGAATTCGATATTCGCGCACAGGAAATTGAAATATTCGTATTATGTATTCAATGCTATAATAAGATTGACTATTACAAAATGATTATTCTGGCTTACTGTGCCATTATTGCGAACCGCTAAATTTGAGATCTCGTTCATAATTCAGGCTTTGAAATTTATTTGTTAACAATTGATGTGTTGGTAACATAAAAACAGATTTAGATGCTCTAAATTAACATTATTATTTATACTATCGTGTCATCCGATTTTAGATTATGTACTAAAATATTTTATCGTTATGATATTACTAGATGAACTGCTATAAAGGATTCTTCAACCTTTTAAATTTTTCTGGCGGTATAAAGCTTATACCACGGGAATATTTATACAGTAATCCAAATGGTTCGTTTCCGAAGATATCACCAGATGGAAAACACCTTGCATTTCTTGCTCCAAGAAAGGGTGTGATGAATATTTTCGTCTGTCTCAACTCGTATGATGTTGATAAAGCAAAAGTAATCACTTGTGAAAATCGTAGGATAGTAGAATATTATTGGACGTATGATAATAATTATATTTTGTATTCTTATGACAAAGACGGATGTGAAGGTTAGTAAAAGAATATATAGCTCTCGAATTATGAAAGCATAAATTAGAAATGGATTTACTAATTAATTATATTCAAATTTTTAATCTAGAATATAAAATTTATATAGTTAATATTATTACAACTGAAATGACATGTCTGACTCCATATGACAATGTTCGATCTATGTTTGTTCAACTTTCACCAAAAAACCCGAATCGAATAATTGTTGCAATTAACAAACCAAATCCTAATGCGAACAGCCTTTATCAAATTAATTATAAAACTGGTGTTATTACGTTAATTGAAGAGAATACTCAATTTTTTGAGGAATATACTGTCGATGATTCATTAAAAATTCGATGTGCTAAAAGATTGATTAAAAAAAAAGATAAAAAGGATAAGATCAATGAGGAAGTCTGTATAAAAGATGAAAATTCTAATAAATGGAGATCGATTATTACTTATGGTATTAAAAATGCCAGATCTTTGAAGTTAATTTCTATAGATGACGAAGGGACGATTTATTTAGTTGATTCACGTCGTAATGAATTCTCTGCTATATGTAAATTAAACACGAGCGATAAAGAACTAAGAACTGAATTTGCAAGGCCCCAAAATCAAAAAGCGGATATTAATAAAATTCTTCTTCATCCAAAAACCAAGAAGCCTATCGCATATTCAGTCACTTACCTTAAAGATAAATGGTATTGCATTGATGAAAAAATTTCTTATGACTTGGATTTTTTAAGAAAATTTAATGACGGTGAACTTGACATACTTTCTCAATCATTGGATAATAAAATTTGGACTGTGGCTTTTGAAAGTGGAAATCAACCTCCAAAATACTACCTTTATAATCGAGACAACAGATCAATTAATCATTTATTTGATGCTTATCCGAAATTAGAAAAATATGTGTTAGCTCAAGTTTTTCCTTTAGTAATTAAATCCAGGGATGATCTAGATTTAGTCTGTTATCTTACACTGCCAGCCGGAAAATATGACCCTTCGACAGAATACAAGCCAAAAAAGCCTTTGCCATTAATTTTGCATGTTCATGGCGGTCCTTGGACACGTGATTACTATGGCTTCAAAGCCGATTCACAATTTTTTGCAAATCGTGGTTATGCTGTATTAAATGTAAATTATCGTTCTTCCGTTGGCCTAGGTAGATCTTTAATTTGTGCTGGTGTTGGTCAATGGGGCAAAAAAATGAATGATGATTTAATTGGTAATTAGCTCTATAATGACTAAACTATTTATATTAATTTATCTTACTAATTCTGGAATTATGCAATATAAAATCAATTAGACGCAGCAAAATGGGCGATTTCTGAAAAAATTGCCATAAAAGAAAAAATTGCAATTTATGGGGGAAGTTACGGTGGATTTGCTACATTGGCTGGGCTTGCTCTTACAAATAAAAATGAAAATTTTACTTTTGCTTGTGGTGTTGAATTTTCTGGTCCTTCTGATCTCGGTATGTTTATTTCTCATAATCATTTCGTAATTTCGAAATTTTAATATTCTAGCTTATTTAAAACTTTTCTTATAACAATAGTAAGGCTGGTTAGGTAATGAAGTGTTCTCAATTATCATAAAGATAATATTTGTTCTGTATTAAAAATAAATAATCCAATTAGGACTATCCCTTCGTATTGGAAACCATCTTATGATGAATTTATATACCGTCTAGGTGGTGATCCTGATACTGTGAAAGGGTTGAAATATTTACAATCCTGTAGTCCATCAAACTATGCGGACAATATTAATAAACCTTTGTTAATTGCTCAAGGTATATCTTCATTAATATTTAAGTTTTCTTTTTTCTTCGCTAACTATTTTTTCTTTTAAAAATAGGTAAAAATGACCCACGTGTGAAATACGAAGAAAAGTAAATTTACATTTAGCCTTTACTATACCGCTTTTTAAACAAAAGTTTCATTTTAAATATTTTTTTCTACTATATTCGTTCTTTATAGAAATATTATCGCCAAAACACTTAAGCACAATAAAATCCCTGTTGGATACATTTTATATTGTGATGAAGGCCATGGGTTTGCCAAGCCCGAAAACATGCTTTCATTTGTTGCCCTTAAGGAAAAATTTTTATCGGAATGCTTAGGTGGTAAGTGTGAGGCACCTCGTAAAAAAGATTTTAAAAATTTAAATATTAAAGTTAAATTTGGTAAGAAATTGCTGGGTATAAATTATAAATTTATTAATTGTTAAATTCAGTTAGAATTGTTGAATCATACCAAGTAAGTTATATAGACTGCAAAAAATGATAAAGCTACTCTGTAAGTCAAGTACGACAAGCGCATCATGCTATTTATCTATGTAGGCGCCACAAAAAAAGCGCGACAAAAAAAAATAATTAGAAAAAATTACGCAAATTCCACATTATAAATAAAAAATGTTTTACTGCTAACTTTACCTTAGATAAGAAAGAATATTTCACTAATAATAAATAAATAATGTATAATACTATACTACAATCGCTTATCTCTATAAAGCTTTGGTTCAGATCTCTATTTAGATATTCTGTCCTGGTTTTGCGCGGTGACATTGTGCAGCTATCTGTTATTTAAAAATCTATATATTGTTAAACACAATTGACCCGATACTTTTTGACTCATCGATTAAGCGTTTGAGAACGCCCTGATTTTTCTTCTTAACTTATTATTAGCTGCCCGATACGGTGCAGCATTTGTCTCGAATCGGTCACGGGTGTGTGGTTAATTGATTATTGATGCATGATCGTATGATTTTGTCGTTTGATGCATGATTATTTGTTTTGTCTCTCATTTTCGGATATTACTATGAAGAACATAAACGGGTATTGCCCCTTCTGCTAAATGACACTACGCAAATTCTCTGAGCATCGATTTGTTACTTATTTTCACTCTTCTTATCTTTCTTTCTTACTTACATTTCTCAAAATATGTAAAGCGATTGGCTGTCGTCCCGACAGGCCATACCCGTGTGACTGTCGTCTCAACAGGTCACAATCTATACTCATCATTTAATCAAGAGTTGGTATCACATTGACTGTCGTCCCGACAGGCCATACCAAACTGACTGTCGTCCCGACAGGCCATACCAAACTGGCTGCCGACCCAACAAGTCACAATTAACATTTTCAAATTAACGTAAGTTTTGTATCACATACTCAATGTGACTGCCGTCCCAAAAACTTTACCCGGGATTGGGTGGGCGGGTCGATTTAACCAGAACAAAAGTCGGGTTCGCAATTCTGAATAAGAATTCCTTACTCACTAATATACTACGAAACAATTACCTCATACTTACGCAGTTATCACGAACTTAATCAATTACTCTAAAAAACCAATACTCATTCGAGAATTACTAATCATCGATTACCTTATACTTACGTTCGATCGACTGATCGAACATGTAACCGTAACCGGGCCTATCACATGTTCGATCGGATAGTCGATGATTCGAGACAAAAGCTGCCTCGATACTTACATATCGAGCAGCTATTTTGTTTTGTCTCTCATTTTCGGATATTACTATGAAGAACATAAACGGGTTCTTCTAGAGCATCGTTAAAATGAAATTCTCAATTTGACAGAAAGCTATCCTTACTGTGATTGTATACAAATATACTACCAAACCTGAAGAGGAAACTACGAATCTAGGTCATTACCAAACCCCATTAATGTTGAAGTCACCAATTCTGCTGTACCTACTAATCTCATATACAATCGTGCGGCATCCAAAACCCAACCCCCAATAGCTTGAATTTGCTTCAGTGACAAACCACCCTTCATAGCCGCAGTGGCACCTCCAATTCTTAAGCTATGAGCTGTGAACTTTCCTACCAAATTTGCATGCACTGCAAAATGCTTAACCACTGCTGTAATTGACAAAACTGACATCCTTTTTCTCGTTTTTGACAGAAAAAAGGGGGTATCATTCTCTGTCTCAGGCCTTATCTTTAGGTATTCAATCACTCTTCTGACTGGCAATATATACTATTTGTTAGTTCAATTGGTACGAATTTCCCTTTAGCTAGTTGGTCAGTTTTCAACCTGTTTACCTTAATTCATAACAAACCATTTCTGAAACTAATATCTTTTTTCCTTAGTTCACAAAGTTCACCTGGACATCTCATTGTTCTCAAACCCAAAGCTATTAATGCTAGGTCCCAGGCCACATTTCATGGCTAACACCTACAGAGGGAAAGTTCAAATATTGTTTCACAGCCTTAACTGGCAAGGGATCTCTCGGCTATTTAGCCTCAGAGCTCCTTGCCATAATTCCTTTGATTCCATTAACCACTATTTGCACCGAGGTGCATTTTGTAGAGTCCCATACCTCTTTAATTTTATGTCTTTAGGCAATTGCAGCCAAGCACCCCACCATTTTTGAACTACGCCCAGATATATCCAACCAGGCTAAGAAGGCAGTAACAGTAGTTATATCTGAAGCAGGAAGTGGATCACACCCTGTTTGTCTATTAAATTCTACAAATACTTTCCATGCTTTATCTAATCTTCTCCTATATAACTCACTAATGGAATTCTTTGCCAAATCACCTATGTGCTTCAACAGTTTTTCAACCAATCCAAACAAACAGCTCTGAGTCTCCAATGACCATTGTTGCATGGTTCCATGTGACGTGATGGGCCTGGCAAAATTATTTCCACTGGCGGAGGCAAATCTATTTCTTCTTTCACTGCTTCTATAATCATTGGCCACCATGAGGCCGCCACCCAAATTGGTACTATAATTACTATTACGGCTCCACATTCCTTTGCATGCACGAGGAAACAATGAATTAGCCCAAAAGGTGGTCAAAGATAATTTACAACTCCCTTCCAATCCTGCGTAAAGCAGTCTACTTCTTCTGTTTCAGGGCACAAATGTAAACTGTTGAACCTTCTTAACTTCGTATTCATCTGATTTGCAACCCTGTCGATATTGAATACTCACTATTTTTCCTGCAACTGATTTACTATATCTGTCTTTAGTTCCCAATCCCCAAAGTCTATATCTCTTGTAAATATATCCACCAGATTCTCTTTGCTTGACACCCATCTTGTATGATAAATTTCTAAGTCCTTTTCTACACAATACTTCTATATTTCTCTGGTTATTTCTTTTTACCATAGCTCTGGGCCACCAAGAATTACCAACTTTAATGCCATCTTGTTGTTTATCACTAGTATAACCCAAGAACCACTTAACTGATCCCTGAATGACTGCAAAACTTGAAGCACTGTAATTGCTTCAAGTTGGGCTATAACATTTGCTGTTAGCTTCTGAGCCCAATTTCCAGCTGCAACCAAATCCTGGTAAATACCACACCAGCCCACTACTGAGGCATCCACAAACACATTCTTCATCTTCGAAGACTTCTACACTGGATGTCCATTCCAACCCTTCAAGTTCATCACCAACCACTGAATATTCTCTATTGCCTGTGGGGACAATATGATATCTTTGTCCCTGTCACTCCAACAACAGTCTCTCGCATTTATTAATCTGTAAAACTCTAAACTCTTTACCTGGGCTAGAGAAAAAGCTCTTGTGAGACTCTGGATCTTTCCAGTAACTGAAGCTAATTTTCATACCGGAACCTTTGAAGTCTTCAACAACGATTCTAGTTGGGATATAGTGGAGGTGATCTTTTTCTCTGGTGCAATCACTAGGCCATTCATAGTATCTATAATAAGCCTGCAAAACTTTAGTTTTTGTGTTGGGTTCCAACTTCCCTTTTCCTTTGCTCAAATCTAGCCACAACCAGCCAGGTCTCTTGCTATAACCATTTCTCGCTGTTTCAACAATATCTCTCTTGAAGAGTAAGCTATCCAAACATCGTCCAGATAGTTTCACAAAATATCCCTCTTGATCTCCAGCTTCCCACCATCGTCTTCATAATTTTCGCAAAAATCCAGGGGGACTGGTTCAATCCAAAAGGGAGAACTTTGTAGTAAAACCATTTTTCGTTAAAACAAAAGCCCAAAAATTGTTGTGCTACATCATCCATGAGGATGTGATGATAGCCTTCTTTTAGGTCAAAAGTCAAGATTCACCAATCTTTGCCTACTGTTCTCAACAATGTTTCTAAACCCTCGAACTTGAAAGTTTTCCATGGCAATGTCTTGTTCAATCTCCTGAGGTCTATTACCAACCTGAATTTTTTTGAGCCCTGTTTGGAAACAACAAAAATGGAGCTTATTTCCAAAAGCCATTCTGGTCTCTGCTTTCCTTCTGAAACCTTCTCTATAGCTCCAACTCTTACCAATCTTTCTAATTCCTTTTCTATCCATTCTGTTTCTACCACAGAAAAAGACCGGGATCTTGTATTGACTGCGAAGTTAAACTCATAGCTCCTCTTGGAAAAAGGAGAATTCTTTTTTTAACCATGTTATTACAATTAGCGCTGGTTTTATCACTTTCACCTAGTAAGACACTGCTGCCTCCGAATACAATCTTCCTGTTACATGTTGACCGCTGCACCCCATCCCACACCATTCTCCTTTTTCTCTGAAGAACACCCCGAGTGTTGTCAAGTTCTTCTTTGTCTGGAGTTATCACCTCGAAAGAGCCTATTAAAGTGCTTTTTCGACCCATATTCATTGGCATAATGACCCTTTCCATCGCACAAATAACAAACAACTTCTCTATTCAAATCATTTCTCCTACCAGAACCCAAATTCCTAAACCTCATAGAAGGTAAACCCCAGTACCTATGCTGAGAAAATTGAACCTCCAGAAACAAATTCTGAAATGATGAATACAGCTGCCCTGCAGAGGAAGGACCTATACCATTGACTCCAAAATTTGGTAAACTCAAAAACAAACCCTGTTGACCAGGCAATTGCTGTAAAGTAGGCTGAAAATATGGGTAAACTTGCATTGGAGAGGGTGCAACAGGCTGTTGTCCCGAAAATGAATTAGTAAAAAAGCTATGCATATTTTCTGATTGACTGTTAGCAAACTGGCCTTTATTATGAGAATACTTTGACTTTTTGTTCTTCGAAAAACTTTGAGCTGCAAATTTAGCTCTTTCCTGTTTACCCCCAAAGAGTTGGGCTATCGGATCCAACGAATCATTGGATGCCATCTTAGCAACAACATTTCAACCATCTTCGTCAGCTACCCTAACTACATATGCCCTTTCTAATGCCACCTGCCTGCCTAACAGCAAATAATCAATATCACCTGTGCTTAATGCTCTATCCATCAGCATACCCGCTCTGCATCACTCATTAAATTCTCAGTGATTTCTTGCCTTTGACAAATCACGCTTTCTCCAAATTCCCAACTCATCACCACCCAATCAAAAGCGGCTCTCTCTTTAACTCCAGGGGCTTGTGGGAATTGATTAAAACCAGCTATACTAGATCTTAAATTCTCTGTATCAAAAGCTGCATCATTGGGTCTACTGTTCTCCACAGCAAAAACTTCCCCTGGATCGCCACCAAAATACTAATAAAATTTTTTCGATCACGTGAAACTATCCAATAATAAATCACGCCTTGGTGTAACGTAACACAATCAGGAAGATCCGAAACAAACGTTCGTTTTCAAAAATTCTCCTCTAACTCAAAAATTTACATAAGAAATCACCTTCTGTGCATTAACAAAAAGTTTTTCTTGAGCGATTTTGCTATTAAAAACACATAAACCCTAACCTTAGCACAGACCCTAACCCTAATCTAAACGAACTTAACGATTTTTGTACGATCACGTGATCGAAAAAAAATCGGTGGCGATGCTGGGGAAGATCACAGCAAACACATGATCACGTGCCAGAAAAAAGGTACCTGCATCACCAAAATCTTTCCCAGCATATGTAGATTTCTCTTTACCTAACAACTCATTAACAGAATCATCCTTCTTCTTATATTCACTAGCTAATCTACTAATTAAATCTTGTTTTGAACCAACATCAGAAATACCTAACTCATGGCACAAAAATTTTAACACCTCCAAAGACAACCGACTAAAACTAGGTTTGAAATTAATTTGACCACCCTTAGGAGTAGGTTCAGCATTACTATTTGAAGAAGACATAGTTTCCTCTTCTATCCTAACAGATTTTACTTTTTCAGAATTTCTGCTCATTTAAAGAAGATATATAAAAAGTAGTGTAAGCTCAATTTAACCAGAACAAAAGTTGGGTTCGCAGAAAAGACAAAAGTAATTCTGAATAAGAATTCTTTACTCTCTAATATACTATGAAACAATTACCTCATACTTACATAGTTATCACGAACTTAATCAATTACTCTAATAAACAATACTCATTTAAGAATTACTAATCATCAATTACCTCATACTTAAGTTCGATCAACTGATTGAACATGTAACCGTAACCGGGCCTATCACATGTTCGATTGAATAGTCGATGATTTAAGACAAAAGCTGCCTCAATACTTACGTATCAAGCAGCTATTGATTCCATTTGATGCATTGTAGATTTTGTATTAATTTTTAACATAATGACGTAGTATTGGTTTTTTCCCAAAAAAGATAATTTCTGTTTTTTCTGCTAACCTGATTTTGTCTGATTTTTCACTTGCCCTAGCCAACCCTCACACATGATCATATGGCAACTTGAGGGTTTATTTAAGGTCCCATTGGAATGACATTTATTGTTTTTAGCTGTTTGGTTTAGTTTATGGCCTGTCAGGCGACAGTCGTTTATTTTGCTTTTTAGTGGCCTGTCAAGACAACAGTCACAATGAAGTTTTGTTTAGTTACGTGGACTGTCAAAACGACAGTCACAGTGTAAATTGAAGTGGCCTGCCAAGATGACAGGTGTGAAGAAATTTCCTTATATTTTTTGCAAAAGGTGGCCTGTCGGGACAACAGTCACAAGAGAATGTATATATAGGTGTTTATAGCACTTGTGTTAGTATTTATTAGAGTAGTTGTGGGGAACTTAGGGATTTTCCTGATGAAATTATCTATTTTTTTTCACCTGCCCCTTGCGACATACAATAGCTAAGAAAACCATCAGTTTTTAGAACAGTTGCTATTCTTGGTAGCTTATTTTATACAAGAGTGTTTATGCTCCAAATAATGACTATATGTACTTGCATAAACTTGTAATCATTGTTCCTTGAGTAAATATGGAATCTACAGCATAAGCGTTGAGATCCTCATGATGACAATCTGTAAATTAGCTGTCTGATATGAAAGTATTGGAGCAGCATTTTGTCTCGAATCTATCACGAGTGCGTTATCGTGATTATCATGTGATTTGAGTTATGCGATGCATCATGGTGATGTATTGTTTGATTTCACTTGTTGTGATTTATTGTATAATTAGTTTTGATTTTATGATGTATTGACGTAGTTTTTTGATTAGTAATCGTTAGTAGTATTTAGAAGAAGCAGGTTTTTTCCCAGGATAGGTATCTTCTGTTTTTTCTGCTAACCCAACTTTGTCTAGTTTTTTCGTCCTGCCCTACCCAGCCCTTGTATGTCTATACAGCCACTTGGGTCTATTAAGGACCTATGAAGGCGGCGTTTATTGTTTGTCTGTCGATTTTGGAAGTGTGACCCTGTCAGAACGATGGTCACAAGAGTTTTTATGATTTTGTATTTGTCGAAGCGGCCTGTATAAATGACAGGCATGAAGTGACTTCTTTATATGTTTCTACATAGTGGTGGCCTGTCAGGACGACAGTCACAAGAAAATTTTTTGCACAGGTTGTTAGAAGCCTCATTTTGACATTAGAGCAATCGTAGGGGTATTTAGGGTTTTTTTCCAGTAAATGTGGCTGGCTTTTTTTTCGCCTGCCCCTTACGATGTGATACAGCCCTAGAAGGCAGTCAGTTTTAGGACAGATTTTTTCAATACTTTCAAGTTCTGCACTTTTAGTAGTATAGCATGTATAGCACATGTGCAGAAGGAACAGATAACCCATATTTGATTTTTATTCTGTTTTTACACTGTTTTTTATTTTGTTCAGTTTTGTTTTTGTGGTGTTTCACTTGTTTGCCTTGAATATTGCTTTGGTATAACCCTCGATAAGGGACAAAAATTAGAATGTATATAAGAGTGTGTCTTAATCCTTAGTTGAGGATAACATTCGCTCTCCCAAATTCCTCAATAAATAAAGGTCATATATATTCACATTATTTTTTATAATAAATGTTTAATAAATCATGAATATCCAAATATCATAATTTATTACTCAATTCATGTGACCCTTCTAATGTTAACCATCAGAGTTAAACTTGGCATGACAATACCAAGCTCTTCCTTATGATAGTTACAGTAGGTAAACTGTAGTATGAAGGCGGAAAAGACAGATAACTCATAGTTGCTTTTTATTTGCTTTTCATTTGTAACACCCCTCGGTGAGGAACAAAAAATAATCAATTATTATCCAAACTATAAAAACTACACTCTACACTCATTATAACGGACTTGTCGGGCTGGGAAATTCTGTCCACTATAATAAAAATCCATTATTATATTATAGCGGATTTACTAATACACATAGGATATAATCCGCTATAACAATAAGTAGCTGCGCGACACTGTCGCGCTAAACCAGGAACGGATGATAACTTCAATACAGAATAGTTATATAAGCTA